ATGATACTCACACTGCTGTCATGAAGTAGTTATATTCATGTAGCTTCATATGCTGGATGTCTTCTTAATGCCATGGTAGTAAATGAACTGTGTACTGTGAAAAATCCAAATGAACCAATCTAGGAAGAGGTCATAATAACCTCAAAATGCCAAGAAATACGAAATTAAAAAAAAAAAAAAAAACTTGGATTCCCTTGATCCAGATTGAATTGAATTATAGAAGTTGTTCAAGTCACCATACGAGACATCATTTTCTGCTTCCATGTCTCAGCTTATTATCAAGGAAAGATAAAAAATTCTGAAACTTGAAATATACTTGCTCCTAGATGATATGCTTAATTGGAAAAACTTTAGTTTCTGCTATTTATTTAAGAAATCATATTTGATGTGTGAAATGTAATGAGAAAAATTTTCAAATTTAATTGCTATATAGCTGGAGGCATTCAAATGGTAAGAATAGACAGTTGAAATTGAGGCCCTTGGGTGAATGATGGGTGATGGGCAGCTTGGAATTGACTAACTTTCTTGTATATGCTTTTAGTTATTGTCTTTAGCTATGAAAATATCAAACTTATGGATAGTCCATTGCCTGTCAAGTCCTGTGGATGATGAGGTTCAATTCTCTAACCATCTGAGCTAGGAACATGCAATATCTAAATGGCTTTTCAAGTCATTCTAAGGATAAGCAAGATCCGTGTAATTGGTGAAACTCCCTTCCTATGATTCTTCATTCCTTGAGTACTTTCATGGATGGCTTTGTTTTCTTTGAGTTCTAGATGCTCAGGTGTGGAAACTTTTTGTGGCAGCTTAGCTATATTATAATGTTAAATAGAATGCTTTCCACTAACGGAAGATCACAATCATGATAAGAATGCTGACCCACAGTTGATTAAGATCAAAACTAAGTCAGCTAAGGCTAGTGTGCAATATGTAAGCTACATAGGAAGGGTGTGATGCAAGTGGAATTGGTTAGAGGACAGAGGAAAGGGGAACTACCGTAAAAGGGGAAGGGGGTTTGCATGGGGAGACATAATTGGTTTTAGCTTTCTGTAAGCTTAAAGCTTCTGCTTATCTCAGCTTTCAATCTCCCATTTCTCTGATAGGGATCATTTCCCTATCAAATCATCTCATGCTATTGCAGCTATGGAGATAAAAATAATTGGTGGTAAGGCTGTCAAAATTGCAAATCATTCTAAGAATTAATGAGGACAAATGAGATCTTAAATGATGATAGTGTAAGCAGTGGCAGAAATTGACTGACTATTTTGGGGGAATGATGATCTCTGGATGAGCAAGTACATTACATAAAAGAAAAATAACTAACAGTTAGAAAAAATTAGTTCAATTTTAAGACATTGAACAATTCTCAGCTTTGAGTCATAAGAACATATATTTTCCTGTCAAGTTTCGATAACTCGTCAAAGTTTGGTAAGTAACTATGGGATAAGGCCTTTTAAATTGAGCTTGGCTCTAAAATGAGCAGGTAAGGATGTATCCACTATTGATTTAATTTAAAGTCCATCATGATCTTAATCTACTTAAATATAGGTGTCCGTGGGAAGTTCTTAAGTTGGTCTGAGCTTATGTTTGCATACCCAACTTTTCAATAGATTACCCATGTTTTAATTCTCCAGAATTCATATCAATCATTTGCTAACAAAGAAAGAATAATACAACTCATGTGCACTACCACACACATCACCTCAATTACTTCAATCGAGCAACTAGCAAACCTTTTAGCCAATAACATACATAAACAACTAAATACCTGTAGTTAACGATGATTCCAGCTACAATCCTCCTAAGATTGGCAGTTAAATATAGGTAGATTTAAGTGAATCTGATAGGTAGCTAATCAGAGTGATTTGTTGGGAAATGTGAGTAGCTTTATTCCCGAAAAATGTAATGGATGATATAAGCTTGCAGGTATATGATAGCCATCGATTGAAAAAGTGCATCTTTCCTTTCCATGATTCAGAGAGCAAAGAATTAGTGGACATTTTGTGTGCATTAGCCTGCAAATATTCACTGAAAGCTAGTTTGACAAAGGATAAGTACTAGAATCAAAGTCGTAACTGTAACAACTGAAAGTTTTCGTGCACTTGAAAAATAAAACAAAACAAATGTGTCATATCTAGATATCTTTCATATATGCCAATCACTTTCCTCTTCTGGTCACTTATTCCATGGTTTCAAAACAGCAAGTACGATAATGATGGCAATGACCAGGAGCAATATAATGGAAATTATCATGCATTTCCTTGACTTCTTTTGCAAACTCTTTGCAGTTTGGAGTGCGTCGTTTCCCATTCTCACATGATCAGTTGCGTTTGTCACCTGTTCATTTCAAAATGCCATTTTGAATTGACAAGATTATTAGTAGTCTAAAATAGTAAATAGTTGCCCGGTCATTGAACAACTATTTTTGCAGTCTAGACAATTACTTTAGGATTTGGCCCAAACAAATAAAACAAGCACACAAATGACACTGCACAAAGTATTTCCACATTTATAAATGGTTGATATGACCTTATCTAAGTTTGAAAATAAATAGGGAAAAAAATACTAAGCGTTTGTTATAGGTTTTTCTTTGAAAGTTCATTTTTAGATTTCTTTCACAAATCTGTCAAACGAAGATTTGAAAATAAACTAATTACGAGTCTAAAACTTTATATTCAAAATAGTTTATGAAAAAAAACAACCTTAAAATGACTTCTGAAGGTATATATTTCTCTTCAAAATAATCAAATGCAGACATGTCTGAAGCGGATAATTGGAACTTAATGTAGATCACATCAGCAATTTGTGCATAATTTATAAATAATAATGTGAGGAATAATTTTCTAAAGGAGTAAAATAAAGTAGTCAAGATAAGAGGATTGATAGTCACTTTTATTTTACTCAATAGTAATAACTTTTAAGTAACTAAACAATTTTTAGATTTTTCAGTTATTTATTTATATATTCATAATTTTCACATCTAGTATGATCTAGTCATTCTTCTACTTAAGATGATCCGGGGGGAAGGGGGTCGAAAATCAGCATAGATATAACAAATATAATGAATGGCCAGGGTTGTAAGTAGGTTTTTGTACGTCCATGCCGATAACATAGACACCAATGTGATATTTAGGCTATGTCTAATCTTGGCAGGGAAAAAAACTATCAAAATAAAATAAATGATGATAGATTAGATTTTTTAACTACCTAAAGATAATTTGGTTTTTAACCTCTTCAAGCATACGTGCCATTATCCAAGCATAACTTTTAAGGCAAAAGGCTGAATGTCATGGTAAGATACCCTACGCCAATCTCTTATCTACACTAATGTTCAACCCATGTCTTCTTTGACCGAAGGAAAAAAAAGACAAGCCATAGTCAATATCATGCGTTCATTCTTTCCCGTTTGCTGAGCAGGATATAAAAAGGGGTCTTTCCATCTTATCTTACATATTGATTTTGGTAATTCTTAAAATGTCAATATAATTTATTCAATGAATCTAACAAGAAGGAACTAAGTAATACAGTTATGCATTTATCACTTTTTCAAATGAGTTATGCTACATTTGCAACAAATTTTCACAACATTTGATAACTTACTTATTTTTTCTGTATCTCTCCCTCGTGTTATTTATCTTATAATACACTACTCTCTCCTCTTTTTCTTTCTGAAATTGTTAGAATTGATGTAAAACGACTCTGGGAGTAGCATCTCTTTTCAAATTATTAACTCTGAACAATTGAAAATAACCCATCATATAATCAAGCAAAGCTAAGCATCATAATATATGCATTTTCTTTCGAAAACGAACTAATGTAGAATGATAAGCACGCCAATTCCTGTATAATAATAATAATAATAATGTTTGAATATCCCTGAAAAAAGTTAGTTTCACTGTTTCAGTCTGTACAAAAATTTATTCATATTGTAGTTCTTATATTTAACAAAACAATATGGTTTCAATCCCTTACCAAGAATTAAAACCATATGGATTTTTGTAATTTTATAAATTGAAAAAATAATTTTTTTACAAAGACTAAGGCAAAAAAAAAAAAAAAAAAAAGGCTATATTTGTAGGAACTACTATATTTAAGCATAATAAGGCATCCTACAAGGATTTGGGGTAAGAAAGAAGATGGCAGCACGTGAATATTTGTAATTATAAGAGTTTAAAAAATAGCAAGCAAAATTTATGAAAGTCCTCATGGAAGTAAATCGTCTTTTTCACTAGCTAAATTGATGAAAGCAAGAAAAAAAAAGTAGGTGAATTGAAGAACCGAAGATATTAGAAAGTGAGCCTTGTGTTACTACCTAACCCTGTGTTTTGAATAGAGTATTTCTAAATTTATAAATTACATGTATTTAGATAATAATGAATAATATTAGTTTAGAATTTTAACTAGATAAATTTTATATTATAATAAGAATATTTTAAATGACCTGTTTTCAGATAAAATTTAAATTATTCTCAATTATGCTTAATTTTAAAAAGTTACTATTCGCAACTCCTCATATTTAACTCTTACAACTCACTTTAATTATCCCTTATTATTGATTACATATCTTCTAGAATTTCTTTCTATCCAAACACAATTTAAGAAAGTTAGACTGACATTATGTGTACTGAAAGACAGCTAGAAATATTTCCATAGTTACGGACCAATTTATATGTATCTAAATTCTAAGGCCTAACCAACGACATTACACAATCCACAGTAAAATGGAATTGTTCATCACTGCTCACAGATTTATAAAAAGTTTAAGTACGCTAATAAGATTGTTTGGACAACCTTAATTTTTGGCAAAAACTACCGACCAATACCTTAAACCGGCTGACAAAATGGAGAACTAATGAGTGATAATGGATGTTCGCTAAGGATGTGTTGGCCCAATGCCCACCACAATTTGGGCCTAAAACAGTAAATTTAGAAAATGAAAACAATGAAGAGAAAGAAAAGAGGTACTTTCTTGCCAAGAAGAACATTAATGCAAGATTTGAAACCAGCAAAAGGCACCAAAAACATTTTAGAATGGTACAAGGAAATAAGACACCCTGATAATCTTTTGAAGGTTACAAAGAATATGAATATCATATCGTGACGCAGGCCAAAGTATAGCAAGTCAGAAACAAACACACCACACAAATCAAGCATCATATCATACAAAACAAAAGCTTAAAAATCCTGCTCTAAAATGTTCCGCTGACACACATGCACATGTTTTCCCAACCAACTCAACTCTCGTATATGCACAAAGGGTAAAAGGGTGAGACTCAAGCGCCTTTGCTACTCTTCCAAGGTTGGACAACACCCACAACTATGATGGCTACTATTAGCAACAGTATAATGATGGCAATGCACATCCATTTTCGAGAGTTCTTCTGGAGTTTCTTAGCATTTTGAAGTGCAGATGTCCCTCTCTGGACATGATCGACTGCATTGTTGACCTGAACAAGACTCTCATTAACGCATATCAAACTAAATATGCCCTGCATTCCACATACATACATGCAAACAGAAAATCAAGGATGATGGTGAGTGAACAAACCTGACTTTCAATGTTATCTAAAATTTCCCCTTGAGCATCAACTAAGACTGCCATGTCAAGGTAAATCTGAGAAACAATAAAATAGGATCAGACATTCTATCATTATCAACTAAATTAAGTATTTTAGACTAAGATCTTCGTGCAAGTAAACCTGGTGTAAATCAAGAAGTTTTTTCTCAATTTCTTTCACAGCATCGTGTCTCTCCTGAATTTCTTCTACTGTGTTAACAACCTGCAACAACCCTTATTTTCTTAATTTAAAATTTAGTTCTCTACACAAGTGAATGGCAAATCATAACTACACTAATCACATGTTTCCAAATAAAACAATTATGGACACACATTTAATCCTGCAATAGTTTTGATTCTTACTCCCACAAAGCAAATCATGAAAAAGGAAAAAGATATTCCTTAATGTTATTGAACCCCCCCCCCCCCCCCAAAAAAAAAAAAAAAAAAACTCATCTTTTCTGAGATAATAACATGAAAATAACTCTTGATTAAAGGCAGTTATTATTTTTTTGTGTAAATATAATAAATAAATAAAATGCATCACATCATGAATGAAATGTTTGACAACACCCCAAGGAAAAAAGCTCGTCTTCTAGACCATTAGTTAAGAATGTGAAAAGTCACTTAACTACATAAAATTATTAAGTTTTAGTGTAAAAAGAAAAAAATAAAAAATAAAATGTATCAAATCATGAATGAAATGTTTGACTATCCCCGCCCCCGCCCAAGTAAAAGAGGAAAAGACAGATAGACAGAAAAGATAACATAATGAGTTGTTAACCTTCCAAATTAAAAAAAAGAAGTTCCAATAAAGAGTCATAGATCAAGTACCTGTCCTCTGCCTGCTTCTAGAATTGCTTTCTGGAAGATTTGCTCACTATTTCCAGTTTCTATCAGGTGATCAATTGTCTAATACATTCATTAAATGACAAATTACAACAAAATATATATGGGGTGGATATCTCATCTCAAGTCACAAACTCATGAGTTAAGCTCACCTCATCATCTGGCCTAGTTCCCGTAACTGTACAAGTAATAAAAAAGTGAACACGATTAAGCTTCCACATTTTAATAAACAAGTAAAAAAGAATAAAAAAATAGATATAATACTACCGTTATGCAACAGAATTCACTCTATTAAGGGGATGAAATGTTCAAACCTGTAATAACTCTTCTCTCCACAACCTCACGATATTCATCTTGTATTCTTTGTCTAAGGGTCTAAACATAAAACATTGATGAGAAGATTGACTTCAACTTAGAAAATAGCTTCTGATGTTAGGTGTTAAAAACTAAACATACCTGAAACTCTGTCATATGATCCTTGAATTTTTTAGCCAAGGCACTGTTGTTTCAAGGAAAGTAGACATTTCAGCTTTCCAGGTCGTTTTATCACATAGTATAATAAAGATACGCACTATCAACTTACTTAGTCATATTCATCCTTGCTCTGTCAATACCTGTTCCCTTCTCACAGCCAGGCTTTTGCCTATTGGATAGGTTCTGCACAAAACCCCAAGTCCTAATTAAATAATCCTCATATTTTTCTGAAATTTTATAACAAACTGACATCTACTAAAACAATATTCAGCCAGTATATCATCTCAATACATCTCTGCTTATAGCTTCTATTCTTGTTTTGACACCATGAGCAATCTTTCCAACTTCATCAATATCTTTCTCCATCCTCTTCTTGATTGCTGAAAATGTTACAGGTCTATTAGTCTTATAAAGAATATTAAGTTTCACTTGCACATAATGTCAGAACAAAGACATTATATTAGAAATATTAAATGTGAAACGTAAATATTTCTTTAACTCATCAGTATTGCCAGCAAGACAATTGTCATTTGTCTGGCAATTACTGCCTTGCACACCAAAGTTGATACACAGTCAACACTGATGCCAGAGAATCTTACAACCCAATTCGAAACAAATGATTTCAACTAAAATATAAACTGACATTGCATTATAGCATACCTTTCATGGCTGATGCTTTTGTAACAGATTTTGATTCCTCGTTAGCTTCCTGCAAAATGTACATGTAATTACTGTTATAAATGAGACCTTGCTGATAGAAAGTAATAAATGATGAAGATAATGGATACCTTTAGCTTTTGAAGCAGCCCAAACAGCTTATCGATTTGTTTATCAGCCTCTTGGATCTAATAATGAAACCAAGAGTATTAGTAAATCTATGATATTTAACTGAAGTATTGAACAAAGTCACAAACGACTCTAAACGAAAGTTGACTACAGAAACAGTGAAACTTATCAGTTCTATGATCCACACAATCACAAAACATAAAATGCCTAAGGTCAAACTAACATTTTGAACCATAAAAAGATTAAAAATTAAAAACAGTATGCACATGGTGTACCTGCTTATTAAAAGCATCCATTCCCATATCAGAGTTGCTTCTGGGAACCTGTCCCATTTCAATATCACTTTGTCTAGAAGGCTGGCCATTATTAGCCTCACCAACAAACGAATCCTACAAGAAACAATTTTAAAAAGTCAAAAAACTATCCTCACATTTTGATCTTACAAGACAACAACATTGTACTAAACTTAATCCACGCCAAATTAACAGTTACAAAAACACCAAAATCACTATCAGAATAAATCCATAACAGCAAAAAATTATGCCAATCGCCCGTGTCTTCCTTCATTAGGGTAGGAAACAATGCCTCAACATGGCAAATAACATAACCACATGAAATCTAAATGGGAAATAACTATGATCTGAGTTAAAGTAAGACACCACCTTCAGGAAATTTTTCACTACCGATAGCAATTCAGCGACAAACCGAATTGTAAGGCTTAAAATATCAGAAGATGGTGATCCCAATTCGCATCCTACTAGAATTCAAGGCTAAAAATTGGGCTCTCTTAAAATTGATTAAAGAAAAAAAGTATCAAATCTGACACTGAGATAGCAGAAAGTCGGAATCTAAAATCGGAAACTTTAGCAATAGAACTAAGACACCCAATGATCAAAATCGAATTTTGGCATCGAAAAAGGGAGTTACAGATATCAACTTACAGTGAGAAGGTCGTTCATCTTCAATTATCAAATGAGTGAGAGAAAGAGAGAGAATGTCCAAAGCAAATACTAAAACGGCAACAATTCTTGTCTTTGGCCGGCGAAACGACAACGAAGCCAGGCAAGGCAAGGCAACCAACCCACGAACTCTAACAATGCTTTTTTGTTTGTGTTCTTTGTCTCGTTTTGTGTTTTTAATAATTTCTTTAAAAAATATTACAATTATTTAGTTTCAAAAAATCTTGTTTTATTTATTTTTAATTACAACATTGCAATTTTATTTTTTCTGTAAATAAAAAATTTAGTGTTTTTTTTTGTAGATTTTAAAAAAAGAAATAAAACAAGATAAATCATTTTATAAAATCAAATAATTCATCAAACATTTAGATGTTTCGTTGAATTTTTTTATTATTTATTTACAATTTATTCCTCTTTGAGTTATAAAAATGCATTTTCGATTTCGCTCGTTGTAAAAGTACATTTTTTAAAATAAATAATTTAAATAGTTTTTTTTTTTCACCAATGTTCAATAAAAGAGAGTGGAAAAATTTTAATAGAAAAAGAAAAAGGTCTCCTTTGTTTAATTTGGTTCAAGTAAAGAGGAAGAGAGAGTTCTTTTATCTAGATTGCAAGAAGGAAAAAATAAAGATATTATATTATTATACTCTTATAAACATAATGAAAAGTAAAAGAGGAAAAAAAATCAAAACAATTGAGTCAACATAATCTAAAAATTATATATATTTTTTAAATTTTCTCAATAGTAAAAGAGAAACAAAAATAGAATAGAAAAAAAATTGACCCTTTGATTATTAATTTGCTTAGGCTGAAGGTAAAAGCTACTGGGACAGTTGGGACTTGGGGGAGGATTGGAGTGGCCAATAGAAATGGACTTGACATATATTTTTACGTTAGGCCCATCTTGGCTTTTGGACTACACTTAAGCCTTTGCAATTGCAATCTGAAATGAGCACTTATTTTCTATTTGTCTTTTCCAGATTGTATCCAGCTATACCCAACATTTTCAAAATTGAGTATCACAAAAGTCAACGACATATGTTCAAAGATTTGCCAAATCATGACAATAGGGAAAATATATTTCAGATATTTTAGCTATCAAAATTAGGAAATACAAGTACAAATCAAGTATAATTTAGTATTCTTTCCTAAGAAAGAAAGCAATGAAGACTTAATTATTCATTTGTAGTTCAAATACTCATCTATTTCAATGGCGGAATGTCATTTTTCTACAAGTAACTTCATATATTCATAAAAGTAAAATTAAGATTCAATCATATTTTTTTTTCATAAATAATATAAAAGATGGTAACTTTAATCTTTAAAATTAAATTTAAATATTTTAAAGTAACATTTTATTAAAAAAAACATTTATTATATTAAATTTATAAATTATAGTAAATATTATATATATATATATATATATATATATATATATTACTTATATTAATTGCTTAAACTCAATTTTAATGGCTCAACTTATTTCTTAGGAGTTTATAAGAATTGACATATTATTTTAACATTTTATGACCTCTTTACTTTATAACACTATTAAAAATTTTAATTGACTCTTAGGTATATGTAGATAGCTTTTTTAATTTTAAATATTTTTGTAAATTACAAATACACTTTAATCATTAAAAATTAATAAATATTTTATATTTATATATAAATTTTTAGTCAAAAAAATATTAGTCCCATTAATATTATTTTATACATAGATGTCAAAATTTAACTTGGTATAATACCCCTATATTGATTGAATTTGTACAAATATAAAAATATATTAAGAAATTAAGTTATTATTAATTTATAGTTTTTTTATTAATGATTTGTAACAAATAATATTTTTAAAATGACATGTATATTTTTAATTATAATTAACAACACTAATTGTCAATTCTTTTTGTGAGAATTATAGTGAGTAGGTTCATTAAATATTTATTATAAGCTACATTCTTAATACAGTCATCATGTTTTTTATCCTCCTCATGCTAAGTCATTCAAATTTTTATTAGAAGATAATATTACTTTTAATATAACATATAATTAATTGTGTTCGAAAGAATATAGTTAATATCATAAATTATTTCATTAATATAGTTTGAGCATCTCTGCAATATTTTATGATCATTATTTAATTACCTTACAAATATAGTCATTAATATCATCAATAAAAATTATTTATAAAAGAGTCAATATTAATTGTTCTTTTAGATTTTTTTTTATAATGCATTTGTTATTGAAAAGTTAGGTATGTGTTATAAATATTTTTATTCGAGCAAGTCACTCTTTAACCTAAATAAATATTTTCTTGATATTTTTATTTATATTAGAAATTCTTTACTTTATTTTTTTCCACTAATTTAGAGAAGGCATTCTTTAAATTTGTGTGCTAAGAGATTTACATTCAGAATATATAGTATTGATAACTCTCATATATTAGTGGTTTATTTACCATTTTATTTAAATACCTTTACAAAACTTACCTCATTTTTATGTGTCTAAAAACAATAATTATTGAATATTAATTAAGTAAGCAAGTTTAGTCCGTGTCTATTTTAACTAAAATATTAAAAAACAGTTATTTTAAAAAACTCTAAAAAAAATAATAATGTGAGTATTTATTTTAAATATTATGAATCAAATACACAGGTACTTATCCGATAATGTGCTATCTTTAAAATTGTCAAATGATATATATTTAAGGTTGACTACTATCAATTGACTTGCCTTTTATAGAAACCTTCTTAATGTATGTATTTGAATTTAAAATAACCAATAACAAATCATTTAAAGTAATAGTTAAACTTATATGTTAAGAAATGAATTATTTCAAATAGTTATAAACTTATATATGTTATATTATTATGGATTTGAATTTTATTATTTTAAAATATGTTTATAAATTGAATTCATTTTTAATAATAATGAAAAACAACATTTTTTAGTAAATGTTTTTATATACTAAAAACGTTTTTATATACTAAATTTGTAATAATTACCCTTTTCTTCAGTAATAACGTATTTAATAAATTTTGTTATTATGAAATGCTTAAATCAAATAAATATATTATAAATAATAAATATAATATTTAATAATATTATTTAAGTTAACAATGTATAATATTAATTGTAACATTTAATAGTTAAACACAGTCAATTTCACTTGTACATATAAATTACATGAGTTTCTCAATTCTTCATTTATTTGTTATCCCTTCAACATAGAACCAAACACCATGGCTACTAGAGGCCTCAAAATGTGTTTGGGTGGGTCTGTACTCTTCTTGATCATTGTTGCCATAGCAATTGTGACCTTGTTTTTCACCATATTTAAACCCAAAGATCCAGACATCAGTGTCAACCCTGTTGGTCTCCAACATTTTCCGTTTGCCCTTTCACCCAATTTGACTATGAATTTGTCTCTAGCCACGGTGATAACTATAGGGAATCCAAACTATGGAAGCTTCGAATTCACAAACTCCACTGGCTATGTTAATTTTCATGATAATGTTGTTGCCGATGTTCCAATAGGAGCAAATTTAGTCCCAGCGCGCAGCAAGATTAATTTGAACACTTGCACGGAATTAATGGTAGGAAAGTTGGCACTTGATCCCCATTTTTGGTCAGATGTTTTAGTTGGGACTTTGAATTTGACATCAACAGCGACGTTGCCTGGGGAAGCACGTTTCCTTAAGATTATCAGATTGAAGGCCACATCTTCTACCTCATGCAACATCTCTTTTAATTTTCATACTAAGGATGTTGATTCCAAGTGTATATCCAAAGTCAAGTTTTGATTGTTTTGTACCAGGAGATTTTCTGCACATCTCGTCATATAAATATCCTTTTTTTTTAATAAATTTTAAATTATCTTATATGTCCCCAAATAAAATATGAATCTTTTTTTTGTTAGATGGAGAACATATTAAATACTATTTGTATTTTTAAGATATTAAATGTATTTATTTTTGTTTAATATTTTTTATATAAAATATTAATAAGTTGGATGAAAAATTTTGTAAGAGAACTTAACATTTCTTCAAAGAAATTTTTCATGTGCAATTAAATTTTTTTTTACAAGATTTTAGGGAGAGAAAATAGTGTTGAGCAAGTCATCCAGCTCAAATAGCAAGCCATCAAGTTCAAAGAACACTTATTTACTTTTGGCCAACTCTTAAAAAGAAGAAGTTTAGAATTGTCAAAAAAAAAATATTCCAAAAACATATGAGAAATATTTATACTATAGGAGGTGAATTCTAATTAAATCCTATGTTTGTTTTACCTATCATGGTATACCAACTTTTATTTTTCTTTAAGACATATGCTTGATTAAATGAGTCTTGATTAAAATGGCGAGCATGTTGGATGGATGGTTTTAACTGGATAGTTAAAGTAAACACATCGACAGCAAAAGTAGATCAGGGTCACCATCGAAAGTCAAAGCAATTATGACAGTTTTATAATGTGAAATTCAAGACAATTGTGACAGTTTTATAATGTCTTTAATGTTGTAGAGTTACATGCATGTACTCTTAAAAGCAATTTAATTGTAATGTCTTAACTTATTAGTAATTTATGAATCTTTCAAATTTAAAAACAATTCAAACGAAGAGAGAGATTGTCAAGACTCACGTGCCCTTCTCTCATGTCTATACCATAAACTAATGGTAGGACAAGTGTCTCCATCTCTATCAACCCTGTGTCTCCATCTCCATCAGTGTTGCACACATTAGAATCAATCTCCAACACAAATTACAATTTAGCTTACATTTTTTCTAATTAGATTGGATAATATAAAATCTTAAATTTAAAATCAAATCAACCGCTTATATTCATTACAAATTGAATATTTTAAATATTCATTTGAAACTCGCTCTAATCTATTTGTTGTATAATTTTTTTCTTCTCAATCAGTGCGAGGTTGGTCAGCTTGTTTGACGATGCTCACTCTAGGTTATTTCTATATAAAATTGAATTTCATCAATTAGGGCACTAATTTATTAAAATAAAAAAAGAAAAGTGCATTAATGTAATAAATAAAAGAATTGAAAAAATATATAAATATTGTATTTGAGCATTCTGAGAATTGAATTATGAGAGGTGAGATATAAAACAAATTTAGTGATAGATAACCCTTACTATACCCATGAACATTCTTTGAAGTCGATTTTTGAAGTTCAAGAGGAGAGGAGTATAAGAAGAGGAACATAAAACAAAAAAAAATTGTTGAATCCAAAGGAAAAGAGAAACAAGTTGTAGAGATATGAATAAGAGGTATGAAGAGAAAGAAAGGTTCATGAAAATGTATAGTATTTTTGTCAAAATTCACTCTTTCTCTCTCTCTCTCTATATATATATATATATAATTTTTTAACAAGATCATCATCTTTTTTTAAAAAATTATTTATTTAAAACTCTTTTATAAGTTAAAAGATCAAAATAAAAAATTTTAAAAAATACTAAAACAAAACCAAATAAAGAACCAATCTACTTATTTTATTATATATATATATATATCATATTTAAGTAAGTAATGAGTTTAATTTTGATATAGTTTCAATAAAGATTTGTGTGCTGTTAACTAATTAAAATACACTGTTGATGTAATTTTATATTAATTAATATAAACATTAAATATTCTTTTTCATATGATAATTTATAACTAAACAATAGTGTATTTAAATTCGTAATTAATATATAATTATTTGTAACATAGTTTAATATTTTTAAATAGTTTTTAAAGGTTAGAATTGTGATAAAATATTTTTAGTATTTTGTTTTTAATTATTTTGAAATATATATATATATATATATATATATATACACGTTAGTTAATTAATATTAATGTCATATATAGTGTCATCAATTATTTAAAATTAATATTATCATGATTGATTGTTAAGTAAATGATTATTTATTATTTGAATTTCCGCTGAAATCTTTACATTAACCTAGTGATTTCAAATTCCGATAATTATTTAGTAATTTTAATTTAATGCTTTTTTCTATGCAAGTTTGCATATTTTTCTTGTCTTTTTACAGCCACCGTTTACGGTCGTCATATTTGGTATAATAAAGTCAGATTGAGTTATGAATTGGCTAGTGCAAAGTAGCTGGTGGCCAAATTAGATATCAAACAAGGATCATGTAAGTTGATGACCCATAATACGGATTTTTACTCCTCAATATCATGCCTTATGCTACTCTTTTGGACTAATTTGTTTTATTCATGCAATCTGAACCAAGAAAAGATCAATTCGAAACAAAATCCTCCTGAATGAAATCTATAAATATCAATATTCATGTACACAAGAACACATAATCCAACGGAATCACAAATTTGCTAGTATAAATATCACCATTGATTTTTGTTACATCCCAAAAAGTTAAAGTTATGGTCGACAATGATTTCGTCATCACGGTTATTTCACACCAATATCCCAAAATTTATAATGAGTTGATTTTCCCAAACCTTCATTATTTTCATCCCCTCAATATCAATAACCAGAAACCATGGCTTCTAGAGGCCTCAAAACTTGCTTGGCTGTGTCTCTACTCTTCTTGATCATTTTTACCATCGTGATTGTGACCTTGTTTCTCACCATCTTTAAACCCAAGGATCCTGACGTCAATGTTCACCCACTTGGCCTCGAACATATTCAATTTTCCCTTTTACTCAATTTGACCATGAATGTGTCTCTAGGCATGATGATCACTATAGAGAATCCAAATTATGGAAGCTTCGAGTACACAAACTCCACAGGTTATATCAATTTTCATGATACAGTTGTTGCCTGTGTTCCAATGGAGGCAGCGTTAGTCCCAGCGCGTAGCGTTATTAATGTGAACACTACTGCAGATTTTATGGTAGGAAAGTTGGTGCTTGATCCCAATTTTTGGCCTGATGCTTTTACTGGGACCTTGAATTTTACGTCAACAGCTACACTACATGGGAAAGCGCGCGTGCTTAAGATTATCAAATTGAAGGCCACGGCTTATAGCTCATGTGACATCTCTCTTCATATAAGCTCTAGGGTTGTTGATACCAAATGCATATCCAAAATCAAGCTTTGATTGTTTCCATCCAGGATATTTTGCACATGTATACGTAGCCTTGTTCTTTTCAATTGATTGATATGCTGTTGTTTCGTTTAGGTTGCTTCGAAAGTAATCAATTTTATTATTTTAAAAACTAAATATATTCAAATGCTTAAACTAGTGACTTTTTTACAGTAAAATTATAATTAAAAAAAATTACTCAAATAGACTCCATGCCAATTTAATTACTCCAATAAACCTAAATAATTTGTTTTTACTCAAATTCTGAGTTGGTTTTTTTTTTCATTTTTAAATTTTATTTTATATTTTTATATAATAAAATAAATATTATTATTTAAATTATATTTATATATTTTTATTTTGTTAAAATAAATATTTATAATATGTTATTCCAATAAATATTTATAAATATTTTGTTAGTTATATATAATAAAATAAGTTTTATTATTTGAATTATGTTTATATTTTTATATTATTTAAAAATAAATAATATTATTATTATTATTATTAATTTTAATTGTTTATTAAAATTTATTTGACATATTTAAGATAATAAATAATATTTTTAGAAAACAATAATAATTAAAATAATTAAATAATAAGAAATTATTTTAGATAATTTTTAAAAATTAATTAAAATATTTAAATAATAAGTATATTATTTTAGATAATAATGTTAATACTTAAATTATTTATACTTAAAGAATAATAAATATATTTTTCAAAATTAAATAAATATATTAAATATTATTCTGTTTATTTATTTATTTAAATATGTAATTTTGACTTAATATTTTTAAATATTAGTATGATAAAATGATAATTTGAATAAAAATTTTATTTTAATTAAATTAATTTTTTTTAAAATGATATTATTTAATATTATAATTTTTAATACCTTAAACCTTAAAACTTTACTGTTATAATTTTGAATAAATTTTATTTGAGAATAAAAAATTTATTTTTAAAAAGTAAATAAAATATTAAATTATAAGTTAATTATTTATAGTTGAAACAAATATTTTGAAATTAATATTTTCATATTACTAAGGTAACATTGATGAAGACAAAGTGCATTAATAAAGATGATAACAAATTCATAATATTAATAATTAATTATCTCCGTAATGGTGACCAATTTCACAACAAGGGCGACGTCTGTGACGGGGTGGATTTTGTCGTTGTGGTTGTTGTTTTGGGATTTCATGATGAATTTGTAAAGGATTTGGATCATCATGAAGGTCTAGTTGTTAGAATGCATTTAATGAATTACTAGGTTCATTAGCAAAATTCGGTTGGTAGAGAGACTGCATTTAAGTTTGTGTTGAAGATGGAGTTGTAAAATCAACTCCAAATAAATTTGTAAAAAAAATCCTTTGATATTGTTGTAAACGAATGTCTTGTGTTAATTATGTTTACTTCTGACGTAATGTTCAAAAGAATTGATGCAGTCTCGTGGTACGACGATATGAAAGTCGTACCGATTTTAAATGTATTGGTAGTCCTTAGTTGTTGGTCGTTTTTCCTTAGATCTTGTAGTAGTGGTGGTACATATAGGAAATAGATAGAATTGGTAATGTACTATTTCATGTATTATTGTGTGTGATATAATAGGCCTTGCATTGGATGACCCGTTATTGTCAGTTCTCGTCTGTTGTTCAATATCTCGATCCATTAAGCATGTCTTGTAACTCAATTTTCATCATATCTTTCTCTCATGTCAAGTTTGTGGAGGTCATTTAAATTATTCGATGGAGAAGGGACTTTTAGAAAGAGACAAAACTGTAATTTGACTCTATCTATTTGGTGTCATTCAACAATTGCAAAATAAAGGATGGCGGTATATGAAGTCCACAGTTGGACATCTCTATATGCTTATGGGTATTAATGTTTGCAAGTCTTGATATGGCCCCCATAAAAACTACAAATATATTTAACTTTGTTACTTAAAATTATGTGTAAAAGATAAAAAAAATAAATATGAAGAGTTGTCTGATTAGCTTGAATATGATCAAACATTAATCTGTACCCCACAATATCATTGTGAGGTTTATTTTGAAAGTTTAGTACTCTACCCCTGTTCCATCTACACACGAGAGGATATGTTGGTAGATTATTAGAAATTGGCACAATATATGGCATGGGATATTATGCCCGGGATATTAATAGTTATGAGCAACTACCCATTGTTTTGCTACCAACTTCCCGTGACTCTGCACATTTTCCTGTACAACATAACTAAACAAGCACAACCCCAACTGTATCGTCTTGTTCTTCTAAGATTAGTTAATAAAGCTAAATATATAAGATGTACTTTGTTACCTGTTTTGTCAAGCATCAAAACACCTCCAATTAAACCTAGTATATAAGCCCTACAATAGGCGTAAACTTCTTCTTTAGATGGTTCTTCTAGTAATGACAACATGTTGTCTCTCAACCACTTTAATTTTAGCATAGAGCCAATAAGTGACTCTCCCTTGACTGGCACGATACCGAGATATGTGTCACACATTTTCTCCCAGTCAAACATTGTTGAACCAATGACTGGTAAACCATCAACTCTTAAACACAAAAACTTACACGGGCTCAACTTTGTGTCCAAATCCAGAACTGAAAAGAACTTTAAAAGGTTAACTCAAGTTTAGTAGGATAAGAACAGAGATGAACATTAGAGAATAACAAAGTCAGACAAAAAATTGTTCTTATTGTCATACCCCTTGTTACACAAGAAAGACATGTCCAAACATCGCTCAAGCTTCTAGTTCCTGCCATTGATTTATATTATTGTTATTATTTTAAAAAAATTTTAATGTCATTTTTAATTTTATTAATGTCATTGTAACTTTTCAATTTTTAGTATTTGTAATTTATATTAAATATATAATTATATATATAACATATCTACATAATATTATTTAATTATGTTTATTAATATTAATAACATATTTTTTAAAATAAATAATTATGTATAAAATTTAATAAATATTAATATCTCAAAATAAATAAATAAACTGGTTATTATTTAATATATTTATTTATTTTATAAATATATAATATTAAATAAATTGTTATTATAATTTTTATTTTATACAAATTTAATATTAAATAAATTTTTATTGTAATTTTTATTTTTTTAAAAATATAATATTAAATAACCAAAAATATAATTTCAGAATATAATATTAATATTATTTTTAAAAAATAAAAGTATATTAAATAATATAATAAAAAAATAAAAATATTATTTATTATCTTAAATATGTCAAATAAATTTTAATAAATATTTTAAATTAATATTAATATTATTATTTATTTTTATTATATATAACTAACAAAATATTTATAAATATTTACTAAAATAACATATTATAAATATTTATTTTAACAAAATAAAAATTTATAAATATATAAATATAATTTAAATAATAATATTTATTTTATTATATAAAAATATAAAATAAAATTTAAAAACAAAAAAAAAACAACTCAAAATTTAGTTTTCTGAAAACCGAATTCTGGGTGGCCAAAATTTTGGATCTATTTGAGTAATTAAATTGGCATGATGTCTGTTGTGATATTTTTTTTATATATAATTTTACTGTAAAAAACTCTAAACTAGTCTGATAAATTTATTTTAAATTGAATTAAATTGATCGAATATACTTATCCTATCATCACCGTACTTGTCACGTATTATTCACAGGCTACAAATAAGCACTTAAGCATATTGGACTATGTTGCACATGGCTAGGTTAAGACAGTAAGACACCATCCCCATGTTAATTCATAGAACCTTCCCCACTTTGTCTCAACCACTGTTAGAAACATCAATTAGAGGGATGCACTGGATGCTTACAATAAAATAATATTTTAGTTAGCTTGTGGTATACAATGAAGATAAAAAAAAAAAGGCAAATCCGAAAGAGGACGTGGTCCAAATCACAAAGTTTATGCCCTTCTTTCGCCGTCCTGAAAGATACGAGATTAGTTAGATTGGATATTGTTCTCTTTATATTCCTATAAAGTTCTTCAGCTTAAGCAGAGGTTGTTGGCTGCCGGCCATTTTGATGTACAAACTCAGAGAATGTCCGCAGGAATAAAGATACATGAAAATAACTATCCTTGTCCCCCTCTTCTACGGGGCCAGATGAAAATAACTTTACTGTTTTGAAAGTAGTAAAGACATTTTCAAAGAAAATGAGAGTAATGCAAGTAGGAAAATGTTTGATAAATACTTATTATAATGTTTGTATATGTTCAGAAAGGTATAGAATAAAAAAAGTGATGTATAGAATATATATATAATATTTGTATATATATATATATATATTGATTAGATATTTACACTACAGCAATATCTCAAAAAACAAGATTGATATTAGTATGTGGGGATGAAAATGGTTAGGCTAGACTTTACTCTAAACTGACTCGCTCTGTAATATAATTATTACGCCTGAGTCTGATTTGTTACCTGTTAAAGACTTTATTTTTAATTTGTCTTAATTTATTTAAATATTTTGGTCTGACCTGAAGTCTGTTAAAAAAGTTTATTACAAAAAAATCTTAATATTAATAAAAATATAATTATTTTATTATCAAATTAGTTTACATATTTTCAAATTTTTATGTTATTGATAATTATTAAATAATTATAACAACTTTTATATAATTTTATAAATAAATTTTAAAACATTATTTAAGCATTAACTATAAATATTTTCATATTATAAAATTTTTATAATTTTATTTTTCTTAATTAAATTTTAAAAAATTATTAAAGTATTAAATATTTTAATTATTTTTTATGATAATTATATTTTTTTGTATAAAGACATCTTATATTTAATAAATAAAATCATAATAAACACATAAAATTAATAAGAAATATAACACTCACAAAATTTATTAAATCAGCTAAAAAATTATTATATTTAAAAGAATAAATAAATATCGTCATTATAAAAATTATAGATAAAAAATATTTATATTATAAAATTTATAGATACAGAAAAATA